GGAAACGTAGTTTTTTTTAGAGCACCCGAGCAAAGGAATGAATGGAAAACCATGATCGTCGATGTCTGTCGCAGATCTGGCACTGGATGATGATGATGATGATTCCGAATATGAAATCGGTTTTGAGATACGATAATTCTTTTTAAAATTTTATGCCCAAAGTTTAATCCTGCGCGGCGGCTAATTTTGAAGTGATTATAAGTCACAACGTACAAGCCCCACGATCTTGACAGCAGGCGGCCACCAAGTCTGGGACAGTTTTGTCCTAATGCATAGGCTGCAAAAAATCGACGGTGGGACAGGACAGTCCTGTCCGAGACAAGAATGTCGTAGTAAGGTACTAGCCTTACCCCGGGATTGGGATAGTCCTGTCCCACCGATTTTGTAGCAATTCACAACAGCTCGGGACTCAAATCGACAAGAATGCCCTGTCGTAATAGGTGCGGTACGTTACACTCTAATTCTAAGGTTTCAAACTCCCGACGGGTCTGTCCCAGGACAAAGTGTCGTAGTGCGGTACTAGCCTAAAATTTACAGACACACACACATAATTTAACTTCCTAACCGGGCATTAAATTGCGTTCCCCGCGGGAATTTTGCTAATTTTGGGTCGCTGATCTCGAAAATATTTTAAAAAATTTAATTTGGACAATACTTAGGAATGTTTTAAAATGCATTTTTAACCCCGCCGTGGGCAACAACAGAACAGCCGGATCAGTCCTGTCCTAGTGCGGTATCTCTTTTGACATGCAAGAAATTGACAGTGGGACAGGACAGTCCTGTCCGAGACAAAAATGTCGTAGTGTGGTACTAGCCTGAGCAACATGACTGTTTCGTCCATTGTAGGGACTGGCAATGACGACAGGTAAATGAATTATGACGGCTTGTCCACAGCGTCTGGGGAAAATGCATAATTTATACAAAGCCTAGTCGTCTAAGGCAAGTACCGCACTACGGCAGTTTGTCCTGGGACTGACCCGTCCGGAGTTTGAAACCTTTGAATTAGAGAGTACCAGTAATGTACCGCACCTATTACGACAGGACATTCTTGTCGATTTGAGTCCCGAGCAGTTGTGAATTGCTACAGAATTGGTGGGACAGGACTAGGGCACAAATTTTTTAAAATAACTATTGCATCTCAAAACTGATTTCATATTCGGAATCAGCGTCTCAAAATAAACAAAATGGCTCGCGAGGAACCTGATTTGGTACGATACTATGTAAATTCTAGCAAATTATTTTATTTCTTAATTGATCGTCAGTGGTGAAATTGTGTATTAATACACGTATCAAGGTCACCCGCTGAAACACACACGAACACACACGCACGCACGCACGCACGCACACACACACACACACACACACACACACACACACACACACACACACACAAATATATAATTTAACGTCGTAATCGGGCATTAAATTGCGTCCCCCGTGTGATGTTTGCTAATTTTGGGTCGCTGATCTCGAAAATCTTTTTTTTTCCTAATTTGGACAATATTTGGATATTTTTTGAATGCATTCTTAACCCCGCAGAGGGCAACAACAAAAATGCCGCCTTATGCGCCGGATCAGTCCTGTCCTAGTCCATTATCTGTTTTGACATACACAAAAATCGACAGTAGACCAGGACAGTCCTGTCCGAGACAAGAATGTCGTACTGCGGTACTGACCTAAGGGCCCGTGTCCACTGCGACGGACACCAACCGACCCGATTCCGCCCGTCTCTCGGAAAGTCAGTTGTTGAAATGGAGCACCGGTTATTTCCTAAGAAATAAGGAAAAGTCCGTTTGGCTGTGTCAACAGTCACGAAACGACACGCCCCAACAAAAGACGTGTTGGTTGGAAAGCCACTTGCTGCATTTTAGACGGCCGGGTCGTGACTCTATAGCCATAGGCTCCACCGGAGCTTTAAAAAACCCTAGTTTTGAGTTCGGATTAAAATTCCAATGTCATATTCGTAATTAGCGCCTCAAATTTGCAAAGTCTACGCGCAAACCACCTGGTTTAAACGCATATTAATAATTTTACCAATTTTCCTTTTTAAAAACCCATTCATTTCTTATTCCCGCCGTGGATTCGTTGACCTCGACTATTTATAACCCTGTACCGAGGACACAGCCTTGGGTCACAGTGTGTGGAATAATACGGCCAGTAGGCCAACAGACTAGACGTGTCTTGTCCCAACTGGTGGACACACAAGACGGAAACGACCGGACCGATTTTCTTCCTCCCGGCAAAAGATCAGGCCGTGTCCATCTCAGTAGACACGTGGAGTTAGGCAGGTAAATTTGTCTGTGGGTTGATGAAATAGGGTGGCCGCGTCCATGTTGGACAGGTGCCCGTTTTACACAGTTAAATAACATAGAAAAAACGCAAAGGGGGAAAAGGAAAGTGGCCGTATGTACAGGTGGCCATATTATACAGGTGGCCGTCATGGCAAGTTCGACTGTATTTTGGGGTTTAAAAGTGTGAAATTGGTGTGCTACGGAGTTCAATGCCATGTCAATGGCAGTGGCCTCTACAGAAAAAAAATGAAGGCCTCAGAATGGTGCCTCCTCTGCTGTGTGTTGTTTGTGGACAGGGTGGCGACTGCTACAGCTAAATCCGATTTAGAGCCATCTGTGAAGTTTTTTCTCTGCCTCTGGGTATAGTTTGACGAGGTTTTTTTTTTACATGCGGTTATAAATGTTTTAGTGCTTGTGCATGATTTGTTGTGTATGGTGAGGTCAAAGTTTATTTTTGCCATGGTGAGGTGTCACGGAGGGAAGTTGGGGAAAAGAAAATGTTCTGTGTCTTTTTTGAAGAAGTTTATGTTTTTGAGATCCTCAAGAACTCTGAGGCAGAAAGGTTTGATAAGATTCTCATAAAAGTAAAAGAAATCGTTTTTTCCAGTTTATACTGTCTTTCATAGAGATAGCCCTTTTGACTCGTTCAGCTCTCAAATAAAATGCCTTTACTATCATATTGAGAACTTTCAGCATGAATCAATACTATAGTAACCAGGACATTTATTATTATATGCGCCCTTTGCTGATTTCATTTTAAAATGTCCTTTTCAATTCATTTGTCGCACTGAGCTAACACAGACTTTACAAGAATGAATAAGTACTAATTTTAAATCATAAGAACAGAAAATTGTAATGAATAGAGCCACATTTCATCAGGAAGCAGATAAGGATACTTATCAACTGCACAAGGTGGGAGCAGACTGCACAGGATAAGGTTAGGTGGCGGTCATTTTTTTTCTCCTGGACACTCAGATCCCCATCTCACGTTCGAATTGCCACAGAAATTGTGAAGGCAGATCAGCGTAACAAGTCATCTGCACACTCACCCCCGACCTTAGGATGTCTGTATAGAACTATTTCTCTAAAATGCCCACATACATAAATCCTTACTTTCACCTAAACCTCCCAATTCACCAATTTTTTTTTTTTAAACCCAATCCTCGGAATGTGTCGGATGCAAAGTTCATGTCTAGTTCATGATGTGATTAAAGAATATAATACTCAACTGACTGTTCATTTACTTCCTGCTCAGTTATGAAAATGTAATTATCTTTCATTCTACTAAAGTAAGATTAAAAGAACTTTCACTTTACCTCTTGTGAAGAGAGAGAGAGAGAGAAAGGCAAATGATACTCCCATGAGCCGAAGTTTCCAAAATGTTCTCTGTACACGTGAAAAACAAAGAACAAGACAGAAAAAATAACTACCAAATAGAAACAAAGTTAAAGCAAGTAATAGGAAGTGTAAAAACAATATAAAAAGTACGAATAGAAATAAACATTTTTAAACACATATCACCTTTGTTTCATGGGTGGTCTCCCTCTGCCGAAGAGTAATCCAGCAGGCTTCGACAACACCCTTGCAGTTAGCAACAGTTTCATCCCTAGAGCAGCTCATGGCTGCAGATCTCGCCCTTCGACTGGTTACTTTACTTTACTTTTACTTTTACGATCCAGCGGCCATCTGAGTTCTAGTTCTAGCCCTTCGGCCTGATCCTTTGACTGGTTAAACTTATAATATCGCTCGGATACACATGGAATACCATCGAAGGTCGTGATCTTCTGGAGTCCGGCCAGTTCTTTTTTCAGATACACACTTGACAAAGAGTGCACCTGAGGACAGCTTCTGGACGTTGATAGGGATGTATCCCAGTGCCTGTCTTGGTGCATCACCAGTCTGGAAGAGATTAAATTTAGATCGGTAATCTTCTTCTGTGCATCAGTGCTGCTAATGGTCAAGTATGGCTGCTCCGGAAGTTTCCTAGGAGGAGGGAGGGCAGAAAAAGCAGCTCAGTGAAGGTCCATTTTCCCGTGGGTGTTTGTTTGCTCGGCTCGGAGCTTCCGCGAGCTGAGACTTTTTGGAAACGTTGAGAGCTGGGAAAGGGTCAATATGATGTTGAGATTCCATTGGTGTTTTAGTTGTTGGTTGAACTTCGGGGCTCTCTGCCCACCATCGAACAAAACAAGGGGACATTTGCTCGGTTGCTGTGCATTTAAAGTAATGATTGATAAATGCGCTTTTATGTCGTTGGCTCTCCTTAGACTTATTTTTTGTGCTTATGCCATGGTGCTGAACAAATGGCCTAAATCATTTTTTTTCCCTTTTGAGAAAACTTTAAAAAGCATTCTCATTTCTTCAATAATTATGACTTGGGCTATTTTGCAATTTCTTAAATTTAAAAAAATGTATTGGCACATTTAAAAAAAAATTATTATATACAGAAACATGCAGGAGTCATCACTGAATTCAGTTCTGTATCAATTCACAAAAATCTAAGTCTGACTTACGCCATTTGTTCTGCACCATAACATTATGTAGTCCAGATCTGTTCATATGGAAATGTTGATGATTTGTCACTGATTTGCACAAAGGCTATGACACCACTACTTTAGTCTGTAGACAGGGTATGGTGTAATTTTATTTCTCTTTGGTGTCCATTATAATACGTTTTTATGTGTTCATATTGGTATTCTGTTTCCTTGACAGGTACTGGCAGCACAAGTTCAGGGTCGCCTAGCAAGCCTAAAACAACAACTTCTTCATTTGGTTTCGGAACTAACACAAGCACTTCATGTTTTAGTGGTATGTTTTAAAAGGAATAAGAGCTCTTTTAAAAGAATGTTTCAACTTTGAGAGCAGAGCAAGTCAAAGAGGCTATCTCTGTGAAAGACAGCCGATTTTGGAGAGACCTTTTCGTTTACTTTTTTAATGAGAATTTTCAAGAAGTGAAAGCTTAATTCTTTACCCTTGTATTATGTACCTAGGGTGTTTCTATGCTTTCTTTTGTTTCAGAGTGTATAAAATTGTGCATGCTGCAGTGGTATTTGGACTAGTGACTGATATGTGCTTTTGTGTGTTGGCTCTCCTTGGACTTATTTTCTGAGCTTACGTTGTTACAATCTGTTCCTAGTGATATGTAGATGATATGGCACAGATTTGCACGTAATCTTCAACTTTATGTCTTTGGCCTAAGGACAGGGTATGGTGTGATTTTATTTCTCGTACGTGTACATTTGATTAAGTTCTGTATGTATTTATTATTTTTGTACTCTTGACAGGTTTTGGCAGCACAACTTCAGCTGCCACCACGTCCTTCAATCAGAATAAGCCCTTGTTTGGCACCAGCACAACACAATCTGGCTTTGGATTTGGCACTGCTACAGAGACCCAGCAGTCCACTTTGTTGTTCGGCAACACTGCTGGGGTCAGTTGTGGCTCCTTTTTTTTATTTTTCTCTTAGTCCTTCCTTTTCTCTCTCTGTCCTCCTTTTCTCTCTGAAGACTTACACGTCAGTATTAACTCTCTTTCTCTGTCTCTCTCTCTCTCTCTGTCTCTCTATCTCTGTGTCCCTCTCTCTCTCTCTCTCTCTCTCTCTCTCTCTCTCTCTCTCTCTCTCTCTCTCTCTCTCTCTCTCTCTCTCTCTCTCTCCCTCACTCTCTTTCTCTCTATTTTTCACTCTGTTGTTCCTGCTTGTTTGTCTAGTTTTTCCGTGCCTTTAAGGGGTTGTTATTTTCACAATGTTTCTCTGTCACCCAGATGAATTCTGATTTCGCATTTTATTTTAGTTTGTAAGTGAAAAGGTAAATATGGGGCAGAGAATTAGCAAAGCTAGTCTTCATACATGTATGTATTTGTTAAATATTATTATGGTGAGAAACATATATGGAGATCACTAGAATTAAGTGATTAGGGAAAGAATAGACTGTCTTTTGGCTCCATTGTATTCCATTTTGCTTTTGTTTATTTGCCTATTCTTTGATTTACGAGATCGGTTGCATCTTGTCTTTTGATCAAACATTTTGTCTTTTGGGATTAGTTGTATTCTCATTTTATCATCATTATTATTGTCTATCAGTCTTTTTGATTTGTCGTTTCAGACGACTGACAAGAAAACCCTGGAGGAACTAATTGTTATGTACCAGAATTCACATGAAACTTACAAAAACGAACTTGAAGCTTTACGAACGTAAGGAACCTAGCTTACTACTTTTGTCATTTTTCTAAATGCCCCACAGACTTCTGGTTCTCACCACCTTTCTTGATGTTTTGCTTTCTTGGAATCTGATTCAAGAATCAATGAAGTTATTAAAGTTGATAGAAATATTTGATTTGGGCATGCGCACGTGAAAATAATACGTGACATTTGTGAGAAAGTTCTTTTAGATCCTGATTAATTTCTAAGCATTGTTTCCTCCGTAAAAAAGAGTCTGATTTATAATAATGAAAGGAATATAATGTGCTCTCTGTTGAGATCATCGATAAAGGAACCTGACTCATGGTATACCCCCAGTGGGCTGGGGGGATATAAATAGACCCACTGCTTCGTCTGCAGAAGGTGCAACCCCCTCAAAGGCGGAGTGTCGGACACGGACCCCAACCCTCTGGGATCCGTGTGCGACACTCACTTTTTCGCTATTTTCAAGTGTCAGAAGTTCGGCCTTAGCCAGTCACGGAGCCGTCAGGCAGCCGTGTGTCCTCGTTGTGGCAAGACCGGGCATCCTGAGAAGGAATGCAAGGCTAGTCCTTGTTGCCCCAATGCCACGGCCAGCACACAGCTTTCAGCAAGCAGTGCCCGACTTGGCTCCAAGAATGCGCCATCCAAGAATACAAGGCGCAAAATGGCTGCTCCTTCCAAATCCCCCACTAGACCGCCGTCCAATCCAGGACGGCAACCTAGAAAACACTCTGCCTCCCCCGCAAGGAGGAGTCAGAGTGTTTCTTCGAAGCCGGGGCCTTTGAGCTCCAAAATAAAAACTAAAAAATCAAAATGGCGGTCCTGCAATGGAATGCCGGCGGAATCCGACCTTCCTTTGCAGAATTGCAACACTTACAGGCCATTCTGTGCCCACGTGTGGCCTGTATTAAAGAAACAAAATTCGCCCCGGTTTCAACAATAGACTTAAAAGGATTTACTGCGTACCATCACATTCACACGGAGAACCAGATTGCTTCCGGTGGTACCAGCATCTACACCGACAACAACACACTTCACAGACAAGTACATCTTAAGACGATCCTCCAGGCTATTGCCGTACGGGTCACCCTGACAGACCAATCACGATCTGCTCAGTTTACAACGGACCAAATTACCCCCTCAAAATAACCCAACTAAATGACTTAAAGGCTCAGCTTCCAAAACCCTTTATTTTGCAAGGTGATTTCAATGCCCACCGCCCCCTTTGGGGAGACATACCTACAGACCAGAAAGGAAAAATAATAGAAAACTTTTTAATTCAAAATAATATCTGTCTCTTAAATGATAGGTCCCCAACTTACAGAAACAGAGCCACTTATGGCACTTCATCCCTTGACCTCACCTTTTGTACCCCTGACCTAGTCCCAGATCTTGAGTGGTCTGTGTTGGATGACCGTACGGACCATTTCGCAATTCTTCTAAAAAACAATAGCCTCCAAAACGACCCGATCCCTGAACGCTTCAACTTCGAAAAAGCAGATTGGGACGGGTTTGCCAATCAATGTTCCCAGATTCTTAATCCCAATTTCGACCTCAACTACAATAAATTCCTCGAAAAGCTTTTAGAAATATGTTACAAACACATACTAAAAACAAAAACAAAACCCCGGAGGAACAAGATCTGGTTTTCTTGGAAATGTGAGGATGCAGTAAAGAAAAAGAAGGCAGCGTATCGAAAGGCCGTCAACAGCACCACCACAGAAAACAAGATAAACTATTTAAAGGCTCGAGCTGTGGCATGTAGATGCCTCAGGGAGAGTTAAAGACAATCATTAAAAAAAATACATCTCCAAAATCAACAGCCAGACACCTCTCAACCAAGTTTTCAAAATTGCTAAAAAATTCTTAGGTAGATGCACAGACACCATTCGGCACGTCCAGAGGCCGGATGGAACCACAGCTGAAACACTAGTAGACATCGCAAACACAATAGCGCTACATCTCTCGCCAAAAACTCATCCCAAGCAAACTACAACACCACTTTTCAAAGCATCAAAACAAACAGAGAAAAACAACACTTAAACTTCCACTCAAACAACACTGAAACCTACAACGCAGACTTCACAATAGACAAACTAACATCGTGCATCTCGGACCTGGGCAATACAGCCCCGGGACCGGATGACATCCACAACCAGATCATTAGATACTTACCTTCTGAAATACTCACACTCCTACTATACGTATACAACGACATGTGGCGGTCGCACCCATTTCCAGAGTCTTGGCGTCTCGCCACTGTCATTCCAATACCTGAACCAAACAAGGACCACACACACCCATCCAATTACAGACCAATAGCACTAACGAGCTGTCTCTGCAAACTCATTGAAAAACTGATCCACAGGCGACTCATGTGGTTTCTGGAAACGACTGGCTCGCTGAGCGGTCTCCAGTGCGGATTCAGGAAACCTCGATCCACTCTGGATCACCTGGTCCCCCTGGAGACCTTTATACGCGAGACGTTCGCTGAAGGAGGCCACATGATCGCCATCTTTTTCGACCTAGAAAAAGCCTTCGACACAACATGGAAGTACGGCACGTGGGCATCCGAGGAAACGAGCAGGTAGACGACATGGCGAAGAAAGCCTCATCCCTTCTGCTGGGATCAACGACAAACACGCTCCCTCAGACTGACTTTAGAAATAAAGTAAAAAAGTACACCTCCAGTCTGTGGGAGGGCCACTGGGAAAAAAAGAAAAACAATAAACTATATGTTATAAAACCCAAACTAGAACAGCGAAATCCTTCGGACCTCTCCAGAAGAGGCGAAGTCATTTTTACTCGATTGCGCATCGGACACACGGACCTGACCCACAAAAACCTCCTACAAGGAGATGAGAAGCCGTTCTGTGTCGCATCGGATGCAACACAGATTTTACCGTTAGACACATCTTAACCGAATGTCTAGACTTTGGAGAGATCCGAAGGAAATATTATAAATGCAAGAAATTGTAAGACATTTTTTCCGTCGTTGTTCCCAGCAGAATATTGAATTTTATGAAGGCCATTGGCCTTTATGGCAAATTGTTAAGTGAAATCGTTCTGTTAAAAAATTTTCTTGTTATTTATAAGAGTTGTTTTAAATTGAAAATATATTATTTACACCGAATTTTAATATTTTAGCATTTTAAAGTCTAATAGTTAACCAATCGTGCAGTGAACTTTTGCGAAAGTAAACAACCTGTGTTTCGCGCGCTCATATGACCTTACGCAGTTGCGAGCGCCGTAAAACCCTATACTACTACTACTACTAAGTACGGCATTCTTCGAGACCTGCACGCACTCGGCAAACGCGGTCACTTCCCTGCCTTCATTGGCAACTTCCTGAGGAACCGTTCCTTCCAGTTTCGTGTCGGATCCTCCCTTTCAGACCCCCACTAACAGGAGGAAGGAGTCCCCCAGGGGAGCATCCTTTCTCCTCTCCTATTCGAAATTAAAATAAATTTCGTTGTAAAAACCCTCCAAAACAGCATAGACAGCTCGTTATACGTTGACGACTTTTTAATATGCTGCCGTTCGAAAAATCCTCTTTTGAAATCTATGGAAAGGCAGCTGCAAACGCAGCTGCACAAACTCGAAAAGTGGGCCAACAATAACGGTTTTAAGTTCTCCCCGTCAAAGACGGTTGCAGTACACTTCTGCCGAACAGGCAGACGTGTGCTGCAGCCGGATTTGACACTATACAGGGAAAGGATTCCCATCCAGGACCAAGCTCGTTTTCTCGGCGTCATGTTCGACAAAAAAACTCACATCATACCACACATCAAAGACCTTCGTGTGAGGTGCCAGGAAGCGCTAAACGCTCCGGAGTGGGGCGGGGACTCAAAACACCTTCTCCACTTGTACATCTCCCTCGTCCGGTCCAGGCTTGACTACGGCAGTCAAGTCTACGAATCGGCAAAACCACACATCTTAAAAATGCTAGACCCAATACAAAACCAAGGACTCCGCCTCGCTCTGGGGGATTTCCGCACTTCTCCGGTGGGGAGCCTCCAGGCCAAGGCAAACTTACCACCACTCAGACGCACACAACTCTCACTACAATACGCAGTTAAACAGAGCTCAACACCGGAAAATCAAGCGCACGACTGCAGAATCCTTGAGGACCTCAAAAACTTACACTTTTCCAAACAAGACATCCAACAAATTCTTTTCCCCGACCTCCCTCCGTGGCACCTCACCAAGGCAAAAGTAGATTTATAGCTGACCACACACAACAAAGAAAGCACACACACCAAAACTTTTAAAGCAGAATACAAAAAACTAATAGATAAATACCCCGGTGCGGAGCTCATCTTCACAGATGGCTCCATAACAGACAATGAAGTGGGCGCCGCAGCCCCATCTTCCAACAGTACACACTAGAGGAGACTCCATCCTGAAGCCTCCATTTTCTCTGCGGAGGCCACTGCCATTGACATGGCACTGGACTCTGTAGAAAACTCTCCTAACAAATCTTTCCTTATCCTTTCTGACTCTCTGTCTTGCATCACCTCACTCACAAACTACACACTCTTACATCCCAAAATACAGTGGAAACCTGATATAACAGGGATGGTGGGAGTAGAGAAAATGTCCTGTTATATCCGATCCCTGTTAAATCAGAAATGCAAGGAAAGTAAGCATTTGTGGACTAATCCAGCTGTACTTATTCATGGGTAGTTTCCTTTGCCACAAGTACCCACGAACAGGGGTTTTGGCACCAAAGCTTGGTCCACAGCATCTGTATCGGGTAGTCTCATCTTCTTTTGATCCAGAGCAAACTTTTCATTGGAGTATGCTGCAACTATTTTCTCTCTATCCTTGATAATGGGATGAATCGACCCTTGTGGAAAGTCAAACTGACGACAAATCTCTTCCAGTGGAGCTTGCTTTTTGTCAACAACCTGGATTATTTATTTTTTTTGGTCAATTGAAAGGCATTTTCTCTTGCGCTTGACATCGTTGGTGACACATTACGCGTGCGTGTTGCTAGGTTTCGGGCAAGATCGAGGTCTGCAGCACACCGCAGCCCTCTCTCGCTTCACACGCTGCGTGTGCTTGTAGTGGCATGGCTTGCGTGGGCTTGCTCCACCACTGCGTTACTCTCTCTCTCTCTCTCTCTCTCTCTCTCTCTAGCGCTCTCTCTCTCTCTCTCTCTCTCTCTCTCTCCAGCTCTCTCTCTCTCTCTCTCTCTCTCTCTCTCTCTCTCTCTCTCTCTCTCTCTCTCTCTCTCTCTCTCTCTCTCTCTCTCTCGCTTTCTCTTTACACATTGTTAACGAGCCTTTGTCCCTGCTATAACCGGTTGGGCTCCGACGAGGCCCTGTTATTGCCGATAACTTTTAATAGAGACAAAGAGTAGGAAAAAACGGGGATTTGAAAAATCCCTGTTATTACCGGATCCCTGTTATTACCGGGCCTGTTATATATGGTTTCCACTGTAGTTAGGCTACAACAGAAAATTCATACACTATCCGAAACAGGAAAAAACATCATGTTCGCATGGATACCTAGCCATGTGGGCATCCGAGGAAACGAGCAGGTAGACGACCTGGCGAAGAAAGCTTCATCCCTTCTGCTGGGATCAACGACAAACACTCTCCCACAGACTGACTTTAGAAATAAAGTAAAAAGTACACCTCCAGTCTGTGGGAGAGCCACTGGGAAAAACAGAAAAGCAATAAACTATATGTTATAAAACGCAAACTAGAACAGCGAAATCCTTCGGACCTCTCCAGAAGAGACGATGTCATTTTTACTCGACTGCGCTTCGGACACACGGCCCTGACCCACAAATATCTCCTACAGGGAGATGAGAAGCCGTTCTGTGTCGGATGCGACACAGATTTTACCATTAGACACATCTTAACCGAATGTCATCTTAACCGAATGTCTAGACTTTGGAAAGATCCGAAGGAAACAATATATTATAAATGCAAGAAATTGCAAGACATTTTTTCCGTCGTTGGTCCCAGCAAAATTTTGAATTTTATGAAGGCCATTGGCCTTTATGGCAAATTGTAAAGTGAAACAATATTGTGAAATATTTTATTGTTATGTATAAGAGTTGTTTTAAATCGCAAATATATTTACACTGAATTTTAGTATTTTAGCATTTTAAAGTCTAATTGTCGACCAACCGTGCAGTGAACTGTTGCGAATGCTACCAACTTGTGTTTCGCGCGCTCATATGACCTTACGCAGTTGCGAGCGCCGTAAAACCCTGTACTACTACTACTGACTCATGGTAGAAAAGTTGTTGAAGGTTGTTCTTGAAAATATTTTCCCCTGCACATGTTTTCTCAAAGCTGGAAAAAAATTCTTTGTTCAACGTATTGTATGATGCAGCATGTAGAATGAGTTCAAACTCAACAGCATATTGAAATGAAATAGGTAATAAAGTTTTGTGTTGTGTTATAGCCACATGTTGACTATTACCAAAAGAACATTTTTTTCCTCTTTCACAGACGCGTAGCAGAGGGCTTGTCCATAATTGAGAGAGAGAAGGAGACAGTAAGTGGCTTCAAGCAGTACATTTGCAAAGATGCTTGTTCTATGTGTATTATTTCACTCTAATAAGGGAAAGCAGACAGAGTAGATGAGAATGGGATTTTGTTGATGATATATTTTCAAAAATTATATGGGACTAAAAATTTAGATTAAAATAGTAAAAGAGACTTTGAAGTAATATTGTACTAGCGATCAAAAGAAACACACAAAAAAACTATTTTGGCCATAACAAAAAAAACATCTATAGTTTGTCATAGCTTCTTTGGAAATCAAAAATCACCCGTCTTGTTTGTCACTGGCAACTAGAATTATTGCCCCTTTATTGAAGCATGGAAAAGGTGCCTCCGAAACACGGTCTAAATAAGTGAAAAGAGGGTGAAAAATAGTCACCAAAGCTCGGCGATAAAAGCCGTTTTAAAAAATCGTTTCGGTCGTTTCGTCTGCATTTGCAACGACAATGCAATGTTTTAGGGCTATACAGCAAGAAAGAGCAATAGGCTGTTTGGATGGTGGAGAAAGGCCAATCGTGGTTGCCAATCATTTTGGTGTTCACATCTAGACTATCCACAGACTGATAAGCCATTTTCAGCTCTCGAGTACGACGTCGGATTGAAAAAGGTCAGGTCGACCCATAGGGACCAATGCACGTGCGTACAAACACATTGTCCAGATGTTTCGTTCAAATCGACTTCAGACAGCTACAAGAACGTCAGATTTGATCAAGGGTACCCACGAAAGAGCCAGAAGTCGACACACAGTGAACCGACGATTGCGTCAGATAGGCTGTAGGTGCCGTCGACCTTACCATGGTTCAGTCTCGACCAAACACCATCACCAAGAGGGTCTCAACTGGGCCCTGCACTATATCAACAGCCATCTGAGAGACTGGTCCTCAGTTCTCATTTTCGGACAAATGCTTGTTCTCCATAGATACAACAAACAGGGACCTCATAGTTTATCAAGACGGAGACGAACGTTATCGTGGCAACTGTGTCATAGAGATGAATCTCTGGGGAGGACATCGTGTCATGATCTGGGGTGGAATCATGTGGAACCACAAAATAGGACCAATGATCTTCCAAAATCAAGGCCAAGGTCGAGGTCAAGGTATCAATGCTGCCTCCTGCATAGCAGGAGTTCTTAGGCCCCTCAACCCACACAAAATTTTAACTTCCAGTTCCAGCAAAATAATGCTTGTGAGCACACTTCCCGTGTTACACGGGATTTCCTCCAACACCATGGCATCACTCTGCAGCATCACCCTGCCCTTAGCATCGATTAAAACCCAATTAAAAATTTTTGGGAAGAAATTAATCGTCGCATCAAGGGGAGACAACAAGGCTGAGAATCACGCAGGAACTGGATGTAACCATCCAGGAGATGTGGAGGAAGGTGTCGCAACGTTTTACTAACAGCCAAGTGGTTTCCTTGTACCGGAAATGCACTGTGGTTTTCCGATCTAATGGTGGCCATAACCAGTACTGACCATTTTGATGCATTAACCGGAAGTTGAAAATGTAGATCTATTCCGTTAAAATGTAATATTCACAGTGATACCTCGCGTATCCTTTCATAATGCCAGATGGAACACGAAGATGATCACCACTGCAAAGGTAAACAGAACTTTTGTGTTTCTTTTGCCCGCTAGTAATGTACAAGTGTGCTCGTATAATTGGGATACTATTGTCATTTTGAGAGTTGATAGACACGGAGATGGTCTGTAAGCCCTGCAGGTGTTCATTTACACGAGAGGGTTCATGTAAATTTGTAGCCATAACCCATATTACTCAAAACAATAAAATTTTAGCTACCAGTATGTGTTTTTATAGTAATTTTGTCATACTTATTATGGTCACATTAAATAAAACTTCCAATGAGAATCACATCATCTTTTCACTTGGAAATATTTCCCGGCATCCTTTTTGATTAACGAAATTGCTGTTTACCTTTCCACTTTGTGTAACCAGATCTACTGGAATTATTTTTATTGTGTTAAGGTAATACATTTAATAAAGAGGGGGAAAATAGGGGATGAAATCCTTTCATGTTGCTGGAATTTTGTGTTAAATGGCTTTGTGTGAAACAATCTCCTGGTTTTATGT